GGGAAGGGGCGCCTCCAGCCGCTGCGGCGCCGGGCAGCGGAGCTCGAACACCGTCTCCGCCTCGCGGAAGGCGATGGAGCACTCGCCGAGCATGCACTCGGCGCACTTGGCCATCACCCAGCCGCCGTCGCCCTTGGAGACGCGCGCGGTCGCGATCGCCTCGTCCGACGACAGCCAGAAGTCAGCACCGGGTCCCAGGAAAGCGAATGCGATGGCGGCCTCTGGTGTGAGCTCTAGCTAGTGAGCGCCGGTGTCGCCACACCGCAGGCACACGTCTAGGAAGTGTCTAGGAAGTGTCGTCACACCTCGTCCGACGACACGCGGTGCAGCCTATGGGGAGAGATGGGGAGAGATGGGGAGAGATGGGGAGATCGCCTCGTCCGACGACACGCGGTGCAGCCTCGTCCCCTTTGCGAATACCGACGCCGGGTCCAGACCCCGCACGCTCTCGTGCTGCTCGCCCGGCTCGTTGACGACTCGGATGGTGAGCTGGTCGCCCGCAAGGACCACCTACACAAGAGGCGCAGGTGTGGCTCTTCTTGGCAGTCCGGGTCGTGAGCTGGTCGCCCGCAAGGACCACCTCGGTCGCGACGACGCTTCATTCATGCACGAGTTCACTAAGCGGTGCTATGAACTAGTGCGTGACTCGACGCCTCCGTCGCGACGACGCCGCCGTGGCGGCCGTACTTGCAGGCGTTGGAGAGGGCGTTGCGGTGGACGAGGCAGAGCAGACGCTGGTCGATGTCGACCACGGGGAGCGGCGAGGGGTGCGTGGTGAGCGGGAACCGCTCGTTGATCTGCCAGGCGAGGCCGAGCGCCTGCGGCTCTCGCGACGCACCCATTCATCGGGTGCACACTGGCTGGTGTGGCCTCGTGGTGCATTCATTAAGAGAGGGCATTCATCGGCTGGTAAATAAATAAATAAATAAATAAATAAATAAATAAATAAATAAATAAATAAATAAATAAATAAAACGACTGGTTGGCCTCGTGGTCCATTCATTCTCATCAAGCCGTGCACTCATTGGCGGGTTGGCGAGGGCCGGGCGCCTGAGCTCGATCTCAATCCACTAACTATTAACTCATCCATCGATCAGTTGGCGAACTAACGGGCCGGGCGCCTGCTCGATCTTGCACGGCGCCGTGCGCGGCAGGTAGTTGCCGTGGAGCACGTCCCGCGCCAGGGCCTAGAAGGCTCCGAGAAGGTTCCGAGAAGGTTCGTAGAAGGTGTGGAGCACGTCCCGCGCCAGGGCCTGCGAGAGCACCGTCTCGAGCGTGTGCGTCAGCCCCGACCTACCACACCACCAACGCACCTGAACCCACACTGGATTCGGTACTGTGGAGGTATGGCGCGTCAGCCCCGACCGCATCGACGCCAGGGAGCCTACGTGCTGAGTACGCCGACATGAGGGCGGGAAGACGGAAGTGTGTGCAGCGTATTCAGAGCACCGCGTGAGTACAACGGATAGGAGTACAGTGAGTCAGCGGAATACGGATGAATACAGCTGAACACGTGGCCCTCTCCGGCGCTAGACGGGGTACAAGAACACGTATTCCGCTTCTAGGCTAGCGAGCGGTGGAAGGTGGCGCCGGCCTCGAGGCCGACCTGAGTAGGCATGAGGAACGAGGTGTGGCGGAGAGAGGGAGGAGGCTGACCGTGCGCCGCATCTCGGCGGCATCTCTCGGCCATGCCTCCCCACATCTCCCCACATCTCCCCCTATCTCGCGACCTTGCGCCGCATCTCGGCCGAGATCGAGTCGAGCTCACATCTCCCCACATCTCCCCCTATCTCGCGACCTTGCGCCGCATCTCGGCCGAGATCGAGTCGAGCTGCGACAGCGCGGCGAGCACGCCGTTCTTCACCTCGTGCCGAGAGAAGCGGTTCGCCTCCTCGTCCTTCTGCCGCTCCACCGCCGCCGCGGTCGCCTCGCGCTCTAGCTGCGCGAGCCTATTCACTGCTCACGAACTGCTCACGACCTGCTCACGACCTGCTCATGAACTGCTCATGAACTGCTCAGGAGTTGCTATGAACTGCTAACTACAAGTAAGGCGGCGCTCTAGCTGCACGAGCCGTTCCTTCTCGGTCACGTCCCGGACGATGATCACGCACGAGCCCGCCTAATTAACTAATTAACTAATTAACTCATTAACGTCCCGGACGATGATCACGCACGAGCCCGCCTCGTCCGAGAGCGCAGAGGAGACGTCGCAGACGGCGGCGCGGGCAGCACCCCCTTCGCCTCCGCCGCCGCCTCCGCCGCCGCCGCCGCCTCCGCCTCCGCCTCCGCCTCCGCCCCGGACGATGCGGCACGTGAAGCGTGAGTGCCACCACGCCGCCTCGACGAGGCGCGTGAACTCGAGCTCGTCGGCGTGTGTCGGCAGCGGCGGCGCGCCGCCACTCCACAGATGCCGCTCGAGCTCGCCTGCAAACAGGCTCCGAGGAGTTCGGCCTTCAGGCTGCCTCTCGGGCTGCCTCTCGGGCTGCCTCTCGGCTGCCTCTCGGCTGCACCTCGGCTGCCTCTCGGCTGCCTCTCGGCTGTCTCTCTGCTGTCTCTCGGCTGCCTCTCGGCTGCCGCTCGGCTGCCTCTCGGCAAGCTCTCGGCGGTCTCTCGGCGGTCTCTCGGCGGTCTCTCGGCTCCAAGCTCGCCCGGCTCTCCGTGCTGTCGGCCCGCCACCCACCTCCCCGCCTCGTGGCGCTGCAGCAGGTTGGCGACGCTCGGCGACGCGGTCGAAGAGAGCGACCCGTCGCGCACCCGCCGCGACACGACGATGACGTCGGCGGCGCCGCGCCACACAAAGTCCATCCGCTCGGCCGCCTCGCGGCCGCGCTCGAGGCCGTGCAGCAGCGGCGCTGCCGTGGCGCCTTCCTCGATGGCGGAGGCGTACAGCTGCTTGGCAAGCACGTCGATCGCGGCGTCGGCGACGAAGCCGACGTCCACCTCGGATGCGACGCCGAGCAGACGCGCGAGCGCGTCGCCGCACCAGACGGCGACCAGCAGCGACCAGCAGCCGACGCACTGGCGCATGAGCGACGCGGCGAGGCGCGCCTTGGCGAGCTGGTACGAGTCCGCCTTGCACTGCTCCGACAGCGCGCGCAGCCGCGCCTCGCGCTCGAACAGCCGCAGCACGATGCACGAGAAGAGGAGGAAGGAGGCGACCAGAGTGACCGCCCAGGCGGCGCCTCCGCCAGCGAGCGGGAGCAGCAGGCCGCACAGTGTGGAGAGGGCCTGCGAGGTGGCCGTGATGAGCGGCGTGCGGAGGCGCGTCGCGTCGGTCGCGTCCACCACGAAGGTCATCAGCCCCGCGAGCACGACCCACTCCCCCCACCGCAGCATGCAGTTTGGCCGGCCCGTGACGGCGTCGACGACAAACGGCGTCGGGAGGAGGTAGAGGGCGAGGTTGGTCGCCGCGGCGCAGAGCTTGACAGCAACGATGCAGCGAGACGTCCAGCGCATCGAGGGCAGCGGCCTGCGCGTCAGCTGCTCCAGCGCGGAGCCCGTTTGCACCGTGAAGGCGAGCAAGACGGCGTTCGACTCGACGGCGCCGAGCCGCACGCAGGCGGCGGAGGGGAGCCAGGCGACGAGCGCGGCGTCGATGAGGGCGAGCAGCGTGATGGAGCCGCCGATGAGAGCCATACCCACCCGCCCGTCATTCAGGAGGTACGCACTCTCCTGCTCGACGTCGACGGCAGGCGCGGCGCTCGACGCGGCGGCGCCGCTGCCGTCCTTGTCGCCGTTTCGTTGCGACGAGGCGCTGGCGACGGCCTCCGCCACGAAGGCGGAGCTCGAGGGCGCCTCGCACATCAGCCAGGTGGCGCCGCGGGCGCAGCGACGCTGGTTGGAAAACGGCAGCCACGAAAGAGTTCGACGACTGGGAAACTTCCGGAAACGGGTGCCCGAGAAAAAAGAAAAAACTAGCTTTATTAGTAACGTACACTCGACCGCCCTCGCCGCTGTTTGACCATCTGCACTCGGATGTGCATGTGCATGACAACATGTCATGTGCAGCTTTGCTTTTTCCGACCGAAGGAACGGTGCGAGGAGAAAAAGAATTTAAAAAGCTTATGGTTGCGGTAGTGGGTTGAGCACATCACAAGAGCACATGTCAAACAACATCTGTGACATCTGTCTCTATCATCTGCGCTTGCGGAATTTTGTCTCTGTGTTGGCTGGCAGCACTGGATGACTGACTAGCGTGTTTTGCAAACACAGCACTTGGCTGAATGACTGTGGTGCATGCGCCTTGGCGCTGAGCATGCCGTCGCTCATTGCTTGCACGCTGCGAGTGCCAACACCCGCTGCACTGCGTTTGAGGACCTCTTACACTTTGTTGAGGACCTCTTGCCTCTCTGAGGACCTCTTGAAGGATGAGGACCTCTTCGTCGTCTGAGGCTCGATGCGGCAGCCACGAAAGAGTTCGACGACGAGGAAATTTCCGGGAAGGGGTGCCCGAGAAAAAAGAAATTTGCGGCCGGGCGAGGCACTCCGCTCCGTGCACTCGACCACCCTCGCCGCAGGCAAGCTCTTTGGCCATCTGCTCTCGGGAGAGCAAGTTGGGGGTTTGTTGTTGTCATAGAGGGGTCACTATACATTTGACAACAACTCTCTCATTTGAAGACACCAAAGTTCAAGTGCACACCACGTGCACCAAAATCAACCGCATCTAGATACACGAGAAGCCTCTGGCTGTTCACGCACAGCTCAAACAACAACAGTGACATCTGTCTCTAACTCTACCATCTGCGCTCTCCTGCGGAATTTTGTCTCAATGTTGGCTGGCAGCACCTGATGACTGACTAGCGTGGTTTGCAAACACAGCACTTGGCTGAATGACTGCGGTGCATGCGCCTTGGCGCTGAGCATGGTTGCCTGCGCTCATTGCTTTCACGCTGCGAGTCGCCGACAGACGCTGCACTGCGTTTTGAGGACCTCTTTGGTCCTCACTCGTGGAAGAGGTCCTCACGCACTCACGGATGCGGAGGTCCCGCTCACACAGTCCTCATACACGAGGCGGTCAGGACCTCCCCACGAGCACATTGGTAGAGCTCGATCCGGCCTCCCCCACCCCCCCCTCTACTGTATTTGGTGACCCAAACTCACTCCGACCTGACTCCATTTGGTGCCTGTGCCTGGCAGAATCTATTTTCCATGAAGACGCAGGAAATCCCATAGAGACAAGATATGATGTGTTGATAGTGCTTTATGTACCCCGGTGGTAGCGTCGCGTGATCACGCACGCTATCGCAGAGTAAATAAACAAACAAAGAACTTGACAAATACCAAATTCCAAATCGCAAACATAGAAACCCAAACACAGCATCCAGTGTTGGCTGGCAGCACTCTCTATTTCCCCGCCCGTGCGATCTTTGTGCAGGGTTCTTTGTGGGTGTGGTCGGCGACTAGCCGGGGTCGTCCTCCCGACGGGGGACTAGCACAAGCCGTCTTCCACATGGTCCCTCGGTGCCCGAAAAAAAAGAAACGGAATGAGAGAGGCGAGAGGCGCTGCGCTTAGCTCCGTACACTCGACCGCCCTCGCCGCAGGCAAGCTCTTGACCATCTGCTCTCGAGGAGCTTTTTCCGGAAACGCGGAACGGTGCGAGCAGGAAAGAATTTTACAACAAAACTCCCTCCACGACACCGGGTACGGGACTGGCACTGCAAAAGCGACGGCTTCTAAGCAGCAACAGCAAAGAAAACCGTGTTTTCAAACAAAAACACTTGCCGGAATGACTGTGATGCATGCGCCTGGCGCTGAGCATGCCGGCGCTCATTGCTTGCACGCTGCGAGCGGTCGGGTCGCTGACACACGCTGCAATGTGATTGAGGACCTCTTAAAGGATGAGAGGACCTCTTCGTCTGCGGCTCGATGAGGAGCACGTCGATCGTTTCAAACCCCCAGAGAGGGCAACCACCTGCTACCCCGTGCTACAGTCAGAGCCGCTGAGGGCGAGGCAGAAAAGATATAGAGAGAGCGCAACAAGCCAAGAGGTCCTCACAGGCGCCGGGCCGGGGGCGGGCGCGCGTTGCTTCTGGACTCGAATATACTCCTAGTACCCGCTCCACACCAGAACGTTCTCTACGGACAGGACCCGGCTGAGTGGGACCGCTGCATCTCATTGATCGAAACAAAAACCTCCCAGCAGGCAGCTCACAGGCTCACAGGCATGACAAACTCATAAACTCGAGGCTCTCTACCTATGATTGATTATCAATCCGCGATCGTGTGGATTGGCGCGACGGGCGCCGTGAGTTTCAACGAGCGTTAACCATACCGCAGCTCCCCGGCCCCACCCGCTCAGAGCTCCGCCTTGGCTGCTCCCGTCGTTGGCGAGGCGACGCAGCGCTGCAACTGCGCCGCCAGCTGCTCGACGCTCGCCTCTGTCGGCCGGCTCGTAGCACACTTGGCCCAGGTCGCGCCGCCGTCGGGCGTCGTGTAGAAAGCGGGCGCCGACAGCTTCAGCTTCTCCGCCACAGCATCCTTGGTGTATCCGCCCTTCACGAATCTCGACTCCGCCGTCAGCGCAAACGCCGCCGGTGCGTCGTCCCCCGCCTTGGCGGCGGAGCGCGCCGCCGCCTTGAAGGCGGAGAAGAGCTTCGCGGTCTTGGTGGGCTGGCGAAGCACTGCGAGAGCGCGCGGCGCTCCCGCCAGCCAGGACGCGTAGTCGTCCACGCCAGCCAGCTCTGTGAATGGAGGCGGTCCGCGCTCCGCAGGCTTGCCCGGACCCTCAATCTTGAGAATCTCCATGGTGAAGATGAGGCAGTCGCCGGCGCCGATGTCGCCGCCCTGGCCGCTGTCGCCGTATGCGAGCTCAGACGGAATGTAGAGCTCCCATTTGTCGCCGGCCACCATGAGCTGCATCGCCTCTGTCCAGCCCGCGATCACGCCCGACGGCGCGAAGGAGGTCGGATCGCCGCGCGAGTACGAGCTGTCAAAGGTCTTGCCCTTGGGCGATTTTGAGTACTCTTGGGCCGTCTTTCCCTCGTAGTGGCAGGAGCACTGCGTGTCCTTCAGCGGGTGCTCCTCGCCGTCGCCCTCGCGGAGGACCTTGTAGAGCAGGCCAGACGGCAGCGAAACGACGCCCTCCTCGGCGGCCTTCTTTGCGAGGAACTGGCGGCCAAACTCGTTGGTGCCAGCGAGCACAAGCGGGGCGATGGTGGAGAGGAAGAGGGCGCGTAGAAGCATTAGGCGGCAACGGGAGAGTCGATGATGTCACACAGCTAGAAAAAAGAAAAACATTTTTTTACCACGACAGGCTAGAGAAGAAGGGCAGAATCCGAAGGTGATAGAAATTCAACGTCTCACCTAACTGGATGTTCGTCAGCCGAAATGCTCGCACGATCCTGCCAAGCACACACGCCCCATCCCGGCCGCCTTCCTTGAAGGTGCCGCACTCCACTGGCTGTGGGACTACTGTGGGACTGTGGGTAGGCCACGGGGGGCGTGCAGGAGGCTGCACCTGGAAGATGTGGTTGAGCTGGAAGCAGAGGTCCTCACAGTGCAGAGGTCCTCACTGGCGGCGGGAGAATGCGGAGTCGCGATGATGTCACCGCTTGAAAAGAATTTTACAAAACTCGGTCGCACAACACTGGGCGGGACTGGCGCGCACTGGCACTTGAAAAGAATTTTACAACAAAAGTCTCTCGCTTGAAAAGAAGAAGAAGAAATCCGCTCGATTAGTCTCGCTTGTATGGTGCGGGGGGGAGGGGGGGGGGGGCACGCAGGGCAGAGGCAACGGTCATCGGCTCGTCGAGGTTGGAGAAGGGGAGGGGGGATGGGCGGTCGGCGAGGGGGTCAGAGCCAACAGTGCGTACGGGGTAGCCACCACTTTCCTGCCTCACAAGGGCGGGGCTGTCCCGGAAAGTGAGAAACGCCGGGCAGCGTGGTGCACAACTTCACCCTCCCATACGCATTTTCGTTCGCTTCTCCCTCGGGCTGTTCCATCTCCTCATATCCTTCCCACCTAGGCGGGGCGGGGGCCGGGGGGGCGCGGGGTGCGGGGTGCGGGGTGCGGTGCGGTGCGTGCAATCGTGTGTTTGGCGTCATGTTGTGTGTGCCTTCGCTTGTTTCTATTAACAACGAAGTCTAGCTCAAGAAGAAAAGCGGGCAGGGAGGATGACCTGCACAATCTGAAGGTGATAGAAATTCAACGTCTTACCTAACTGGATGTTCGTCAGCCGAAATGCTCGCACGATCCTGCCAAGCACGCCCCATCCCGGCCGCCTTGTAGGTGCCGCACTCGTCTCCACTGGCTGTGGGACTACTGTGGGACTGTGGGTAGGCCACGGGGGGCGTCCAGGAGGCTGCAGCCACCTGTGGTTGTGCTGGAAGCAGAGGTCCTCACAAGTGCTGAGGTCCTCACCTCGCCGGAGGCCTCATGGCTCCCGGTTCGAATCGTCCTTCGCGGAGCGAACGCGGCGACACGAGCGCACGTCGCGCGCGTGCGCGCCCGCGACAAGACGAGACGAGACGAGAAGAGAAGGAGAAGTAGACGTTGATGTTTTTGCTGCCGCGGCCGCGCCGCGATCTCGCGTCTGCTTTGGCGCCGACGACGCGACGCGTCCCGCTGCGTGAGATGGCGCCGCCGCGGAGTCGGCGCCGCGATCAACCGCGCGCCAACGGCGAGCGGCGCAGCGCGGCCACCATGCGGCGCGATGTGCCACCTTTTTTTATTTTTTTTTTGAGAGCGCCTTCGTTGTTAATAGTACAAACCCAATGGTCCTCTGCGAGCGGTCCTTCGTTGCAGTCGCACACACGCACACGCCACACCGCACCGCGCGCCCGCCCACCGCCCCGCCCAGGCGGGAAAGAGATGAGGGGATGGGACAGCAAAGGAGGAACCCCAAACACGTATGGGAGGGTTCAGTAATGCGCCACGCTGCCCGGCGTCTCTCACTTTCCGGGACAGCCCCGCCCTTGTGAGGCAGGAAAGTGACGGCTACCCCGTACGCCCTGGTGCTGCTACCCCGACGCCGACCGCCCATTCCCCCCTCCTCGTTCCCCCCTCGAATGCTCTGGACCCCGACAAGCCGCCCGACGTTGGGCCTCTGCCCCGCACGCTCCCGCCCCTCTGCCCCTCACACACACCCAGGCCCGACATGCACATACAAGACAAACCCGGCGTCCTGCTCTCAAAAGAAAAGAAAAAATGGGAAGGAGGAGACCAGCGGGGGAGACTCCCCGCCTATGCAACACCCCAGAGAGGGGCTGCCATCGCCGAAGCTGTGCCTAGACCCTTGCCCTTATGGCTGTTGAAGACTGAGGTTTGTAGCCATGCAGGCATAGCTTGGATGATAAGTCCGTAAAGCTTCATGTTGCGCTCATCCCAATCCTTTTGGGCGGTCTTTGCAGCATCGATGGCGTCTTGGTTGGTGCCTACCCCAGTGCGGGCTCGCGCACTAGGACGTGGAGGCGCGGCGGGTGTTGGTGTGCCAGGGGCACTGGCCTCTAGGTATGCGTCTGCATCGGGCTCGGGGGCACTAGCAGGTTCGGTTGGTTCATCGGTGGTGCCGTAGATTGGTGCTGTAGATTGGTGCCGCCAGGCGGAACAGCACGGGGATAGGTGCTAACGTAGATGCATCTCCAAGTGCGATGCCACCGATGAAAATATTCCAAGTGCGATGCCACCGATGAAGTGGGAAATGGCTCTGTGTGAGTTTGCATGACGGCATGGTTTGCAGTGACCCGGTCTGGTCGTCGAAATGAAAGTTGCTCCGTTTGATGCCGGTCGCCTCAGAGGTGTTGTCGGGGTGGGGCCGCATCGGGACGTGCACATTTCGGCCGTGAATGCCTTGTCGCTGAGCTTGGTGAGGTGTTGAAGTGGATTACCGAGGAAAAAGCGACAGGACAAAGTGCTGTGGAAGTTGGTCGGCTCAACGCCACCGGTGAAGGCGTGTCGGCCAGCTTGAAAAGAATTTTATAAGGCAACTCCCTCGCACATTGAAAGGAATCTGTCAGGAGCAGGAGAGCCCCACCTGTCCCCCTGATCGTTCTTCCAAAATCCTGCTCGTGCAGGTGGGGACCCTGTCCTCGTCCCATCCCTCGTTTGGTGTGTCTGTTTTCTTTCTTTCTTTCTTTAGCACACTGGCACGACATAGTGGTTTATGACGCTGTCATTGTCGAAACACCGCCACCGAAGCGGGCCGCCTAACACACGCACGGGGCGCAAGGAAGCTCGACCACACCGTCTGGCCTGCCGCAGGACACGGAGATGGAGGTGTACCGTGTGGAAGACCTTCTCAATTGTCTTGTGTGTTCGCTCTATTGAGTGGGATCAGCTCCCCCCCTTGGGATCGAAGCCGCCACAACCTCACACCCAACATCCCAGGCGGGATCAGAAGGGGACTCCACTCTCTCTCTCTCTCTCAGAAACTTAGAGTCCGACAGACAAAAGAAATCACGCTCACTCTCGCGCCACTCGGCTCGACCATGAAAGCGCACAAGCAAGAGAGGCGCGGCCATGGTGCAGGCAACGTTACAGCCGGCAACGTGCAAGAAGGCAGCAAAGCTCGGCCACGACGTCCATGGCCCGCGCCCCCCCGATTTGCCACCGGCGGCCTGCAGGCCAGCGCCGAGCAGCGGACCGACTGCTGACCGACTGCTGACCGACTGCTGACCGAGGCAGCGCCCACGGCAGCGCCCACAGCAGCGCCCACGGCAGCACCCACGGCAGCACCCACGACAGCGCCCACGGCAGCGCACACGGCTTGGCTGGCCATGTCAGCCGCGCAGGGACCCTCCCGCGGGTCCAACCCGAAGCGCTCGACCGCTCGACGGCGCAAGTCGGCTGACGGAGCGAGCCGCATAGCCCTCCAGTGCTCACCGCAGGATCAGGCCCGACCGGCCCACGCTCACGGCCTGGCCTGCCTGTGGACCAGCAAACTCGTTGGCTGTACGCGAGCAAAGAGCTGCGTGGCTGGGTTGTGAGCATACCGTCCCCGTTGCGCCCTTTCCCTCAGTGGAGGGCCGTCCCTGCCCTCGGGAGTATCTCGACTGTACACCCCTCCCTACTCTCTAGCTAAGGGCTCTGTTCACAGCGGGGGGGCAGTGGTTGTCCTGGCGGAGTCCTGGCGGAGTCCTGACAGAGTCCTGACAGAGTCCTGACGGAGTCCTGACAGAGTCCTGACGGCCTATTTTGGAGGTTTTCAACTTTGAGGTATTGTTACTATGTGAGGGTGAAATGAATGAATCAGTTCTTTGGGACAGTGCAATCCTTTTAATTATTACCTCCAACTCAAAAAAAGTCTGATGTCAAACGGACAACGGGGTCCCTTATGGTGGCCTGTAAGGGTAAGGTGCGGGAGGTCCACAAACCAGGTTCCTCCTCGCGGCATATTTTGGCCCCTCGAGTTTATCGAGCTCTCCTCGCGCAAGGACCACATTTCTGACTCCCACTCCGATCATTTGCCGCCAAGTCATGTCGTTGCTCAGGTCCACTCTCGTTTCGAGCACTTGTACCTCAACGGTCGGTGTTGGCACTGGGGTTCCCTTCGGGTATATCGTGACAGCTGACGGCGGGATTACCACTGGTGTTTCGTCCTCCTCGGAGTCGTCTTCCCCGGCTTCCTCCCGTTCGGCTCTACGTTCAGCGTGGCTCACCCTCCATGCCGTGAACAGGCGCCCTATCCATCGTATGTTCTTCTCTCGCTCCTCTGCCCTTGCCTTGGTCTTGTCGTTGTTTCGCACCCATGTCTGTATGGCAATCTGTGCTTTTTCCAAATCCTGCTCGTCGAGCGTTATTTTTGTGACGACCGCCCTGCCATAGCAGGTGTGTGTGTGTATATGTATTTAAATATATGTCTGTACAACAAAGCTACCCCGTGTTGCTACGAGAAATGGCCCCACAGGCTAGGAGACCGAATAGTGGACACCGGCTTTGTCCCTTGATGTGGCGACGAGATAGATATCTTCTTGAGGACCTCTGTGGTGCGTGAGGACCTTCGGGGCCAATGGAGGACCTCTCGCTGTGAGGACCTCTGAGCCTGGCAGGTGGACAGCCAGGACGTACGTAGCTACTCCTGGCGCGTACTCCTCCGACTGCAAAGCAAGCAGCGCCGTTCCACAAACGGCGGGGCTTTTTCGGTGTCAAAACAGTCGCGGCGGCGCAGAGACCGCTGAGCGAGAAGGTCTCATGTCGCCCGATTAGTTCATAGTTGAATAAGGGTTTAGGACAACAAACCTTTTGGTCTGGGTGCAAGAAGAGGGTGCTCTTTGTTGTAAAATTATTTTTTACGGCGGTTATGGTCGAGCGCACGGACAAAGTCTCATTGGGGGCTCGCGCCGAATTATTTTTTGTTTGAGGTGCTCGAAGAGCGACAGCGTGCGCGGCACTCGCGCTTCGCCGATGTCGCACGGGACGCGTCCGGTTAGCCTCGTGCGGTGGTAGATGCACACCGAGTTAGGGCCCACGCCGGTGCAGCGTGTGGCGAGGGTGATGGCGCCCTTGGGGTGGTTGAGGTAGCCCTGCGCCTCGTAGAGCCACGCCTGGTCGTGCAGTTCGACGTCTTTGTGGAGGACGTCGATGCGGAGCACCGCGCCCGCCCCGAGCTGCTTCGTCGCGCGGAAGTGCGCTCGTGTCGCCAGATGCACCGTCGGACGATCGCAACGAAAATTCTTTTTGAGCGGAGGAGCTCACGCCGAGAGGTCCTCACGCCTGCGAGAGGTCCTCACGGCGCTGTCCGTGGGAAAATCTATCGCAGCGGAGGTGCATGCCTGTCCTACTGTCTCCGGCGAGTCGCGACGCACGTCCTCCCGTCGGGACCCTCTAGCTTCCATTCATTCCGTTCCCGCGGCAGAGCGCATTGAATGGCTAACTATAGCCATGCACAAACCCCCGTTGTATGTCGGTAAGTTCAAAACATCTTGTCTAACCATTTCCTTTGCGGAATGTGCTCGATCCGCCCTTCCAGCAGTGAACAGCGCCTCTTCACACCGGGTGCTTGAAATCTGCGTATTCTTTTTATTGCTGCGCTTCGACGCTGGAGCACCGACAGCGGAGGAGCTCGTTGGGCGCGCTAGGGCGCCGATGCCGCTCGCCACGCTCGCCGCCGCTTTTGCCTCCGCACCGGACCTGCCTCCTCCTCCGCCACCGCCTTCGGACAACGACCTGTTCGAGAAGCTGCAATGGCAGATGCCTCGATCTGTCCCGACCTCCACCGGCGCCTCGGCGCTTCAGCGCATGCTCCTCGGCCAGCACTGCGAGGAGGTTGTCTCCACGTCGGTCTGTCCCGACCAGTTCTTCGCTTTCCTCTCGGTCGAGCCGTCTGTCGTCCTCTTCCCCGACCGGAGGACCGGCCTGCAGTACTCGCCCGGCTTCCGCTGGGTGGCGACCTTTCCGGAGTGCGCCTCGTACCTCCCGACGCAGCACGGACCTGAGCGGAACGGCTTCTCCGTCCTCGCGTCGACCGGCACCAACACGCGCGGCCACCTCGAGGCGGGCGCCGTCCTGCTGCGCTTCGAAAACACGACGTCTGCGGACCACGGCTGGCGCTCGCTGGCGGGGAAGCAGCAGTGCACGGTGGGGGAGATATGGGGAGATATGGGGAGATATGGGGAGATATGGGGAAGCAGCAGTGCACGGTGAGGGAGGGACGTGCAGCGAGGAGAGAGAAGGAGGGCTGCGAGCACACACCCTCTTGCACGCGCCTCTGCAGTACGTGTAGAGCGCTCCAGCCCTTGCGCGCACGCCTCCGCCTCTCGCCACGTGCACGCTCATGCGCCTCTGCGCACCTCTGCTCACCTCTGCGCACCTCTGCTCACCTCTGCGCACCACCTCTCCCATCTCTCCCCATATCTCCCCATATCTCCCCATATCTCCTCAGGTGCAGTGCAGTGCTGCGCGACCTGCGCACATCTCCCCACATCTCCCCATCTCTCCCCATATCTCCCCATATCTCCTCAGCTGCAGTGCTTACTGCGCGACCTGCGCACATCTCCCCATATCTCCCCATATCTCCCCATATCTCCCCATATCTCCCCACATCTCCCCATATCTCCCCATATCTCCCCATATCTCCCCATATCTCCCCATATCTCCTCAGGTGCAGTGCTTACTGCGCGATCTGCGCACGCGGGCACGCCCGCGCCTCGCGGGACCGCGCGCAAGCGTGGTGCGCCTCTCTTCGGCAGCCGCGCCATTGTCTTGTAGGCGAGCACCGCGAGTGGGCTATCCCCCCCCCCACTCCCTTCGGAGTGATTCATAGCTAGTTCACTGCTTGAGCAGGCGATCCGCGTCCGGACTGATCTCCCCATATCTCCGCATATCTCCCCATATCTCCCCATATCTCCCCAGGCGATCCGCGTGCGGACGATGCACGTGCCTTGCCCGAGCGACACGTCGGAGCGCGCACTCGCGCCCGGCAAGGCTTGCTTAAACCCTCCCCCCCCCACCACCACCACGCACGCACACACACACACACACACACACACACACACACACACACACACACACACACACACACACACACACACACACACACACACACACACACACACACACACACACACACACACACACACACACACACACACACACACACACACACACACACACACACACACACACACAGAGAGCGTTGCACTTTGAAATGCCGTGGGGCTCCTGTCGTCTAGACGTGGAGGCAGAGCTGTTGCACCGCCCTTGCCCCGCCACCTCCAAAAATCACCTCGAGAAGCTGACCTGGCCTGACCTGACCAGGCGGGCTGCGCGTCGGAGGGGGAGGCGAGATCCAGCCGAGATCCAGCCGAGATCTAGCCGAGATCTGGCCGAGATCTGGCCGAGATCTAGCCGAGATCTAGCCGAGATACAGCCGAGATGCAGCCGAGATACAGGGAGGTCCGTCTACTCCCATTATTGGGAGAGCAGCAGCACGGAGCACACCGGTGGGCGACACATGGCGGGGAGGAATCCCACTACACGTATGGCAATGGTAGCATCAGCACTAGGTCCAACCCCACACGCTCCTCCACCCCGCGGAGACTGCCATTATGCATCATTCGCGAGCAGTGGTGCCATCCGCGCTAGCTCACACCTGCAGGCGACCATGCTGCTGCACCCCGCGGGGATTCGCGTGGCGGACCCGGACTCGGCTCTCGAGGGGGAGGAGCGAGATTGATCGAGATTTGCCGAGATTTGCCGAGATTTGCCGAGGTTTGCTGGACTCGTCTCTGGAGCGAGATTGATCGAGATTTGCCGAGATTTGCCGAGATTTGCCGAGATTTGCCGAGGTTCGCTGGACTCGGCTCTCGAGGGGGAGGAGCGAGATTGATCGAGATTTCCCGAGATTTGCCGAGATTTGCCGAGGTTCGCTGGACTCGTCTCTCGAGGGGGAGGAGCGAGGTTGATCGAGATTTGCCGAGATTTGCCGAGACTTGCCGAGACTTGCCGAGAGCCGCCGAGAGCTGCCGAGAGTTGAAGACATTTGCCGAGAGCTGAAGGCATATGCCGGTATTCGGACCTGTCCCGCAGTACTATGTCCCTAGGTGTGCTCGTGGGCTCGCCCAGAGAGGCCCCACTTGCCAGACGGCTGGGAGGCGGAGCAGGGGGCGGCGGCGGCGGCGGCGGCGGCGGCGATGACCGCTCTCGCGTCGCCTGCCACGGCGCGGCGCTCCCGCGAGTGAGACAGAGAGAGGTGAGGGCACAGTCAGGCAGCGATTGGATACCAGTGTGGGTGTGGGGCCCCGCACACTCAGCGAGACGGAGGGACGGCCGCAAACTAGCGACACACAGACACGCACGGGCAAGACACTAACAGCGAGCGACCCACACATACGCCCCCCCCCCCCCCATCCCAATCATGCCTCCCACAAGTAAGCCACCCCGACCCGCACCCCCGCGATTCGCGCGCCGCGGCGACGGCGGGCTCGTGCCCGTCGCCACCGCGCTCGACGGAGCGAGCGATGGCGCAGCACATCGCCCCGCGCACCCCGCGTCTCCTCTTGCTATGTTCCGGGCGCCGTCGCTCCCTCCCATCAACACTCCCCCCCGCGCGCGCCCCCCTCGCAGGCGGCGGTGTGGCTTGGCAAGTCGTACTTGGTGGCACGCGGCGCGGCGAAGCTGCTGATGCGTCTGCAGCTGGGCTAGCCACGGCCGAAGGGGGGGGGGGGGGGGGTGCCCGGTGGCTTGCGAGCCGGCAGGCTTGCCGGGTGAGCAGGTGGGCGCGACTCCGACGCGTGCGACCTGAGATAGGTCTGTGTGATCTGAGTCTGACTGGGGAAACATGAGCTTGTACGACGAGAGCTGTCGAGGGTGAACATGGAGAAACACCAAACACTGCGAGCTCAAAGTAGAGCTCGAACTCCGGCTTGGTCGCTTGGTCTAAATGGTAAGTGGACGGGAACGTTTACAAACCGCGATCCGATTTTCACACGTGCACGCATCCACGACGCCCCTACGAGCCCCCAAACGAGCCCATGCGTGCCACACACTCGCATGTGGGGCGTGGAAAGGGATCCCAGAGCCTCTTTGGGTAGGCGGGAGGCGCATGAGGATGCCCTCGTGGGGCCGGGTGCACCCGGACCCACCCGGAGGGGCCCGGGAAGGGTCTAGCGGCCCTCCAGCGGCCCCCAACGCCCCCCCGCGGCCCTGTTTTGGTAGTGTATCACACATATGTTGTGTCACTATCATACCCACGACCCAGGGTACCCGAGCGCTCCCGAGCAGCTATAAGGTCGAGCCGCTGGAATGCCTCCTCCAGTGGCACCCAGTCGCGCTCGAGGTACGGGAGGAGCATATCATACAGTTTCACTGCCCGAGCCTGCAGCTTGGCACACTCGTGGCACTTGTCCTCGTGGGCGAGCTGAATCCCGTAAACGTTCCGCATATCATCGAATTGCGCCTCGTTCAGGCCGGCGTCGATCATCCGACGGGTCACCCGACGTTCGAAGACGCTTTCCCGATCGCTGTCCGAAGACGCGTCGTCGGGACGGGAGTCGCTGGCCGGCAGGTCCTCGACCGCCGGCTCCTCCTCGACCGCGGGCTCCTCTGGCGTGGGCACGTCCTGCAACGTTTCTGGAACGACAGCGAGAAGCGCCTCCGCGCCCGCCTGCCGCCGCTTGCACTTGCCCAACTCCTTGTCCACGCCGCTCGCGTGCGTCTCGAGCCGCTTGCCGTACACGACCGCCTGCTCGAGTCGCGCGCCCGCCAGCTCGCCGCGTAGGTCCCACACAAGGTACGCCAGCGCAGCCTTCTTCAGGTTCTTTATCTGGAGAGCCATCAGCGCGCCGCGCCGCTGCGACGAAAAGAGCGTGTTTACGGCAGCTTTCGCGGCGATGATGATGCCGTTGGTGACCTCGCCGACGATGCTGACCTCGTTGGAGGGTGCGGGGACGGGTTGGTTGCCGAGGAGCATGGTCTCGAGGCGATTTAAGAGCGCGGTGGGCTCCAAGGCGAGCTGCGCCGAACTGGAGCGAGTCGGCCGCGCCCGAATTGCTGGCGCCGCATCGGCGCCGGTCGAGTCCGACACGACCGCGGTCTTCTCCACCGGCTCGAGGTTCGCCATCCGCGGCGCTGCACCGCGGATTCGAACGGCTGCTCGCTCCTGCTCGGCGGCTGGCCTGTCAGCACGGCGCTTCGAGAGGGCGGTCGCCGTCGGTGCACATTGACTATCATGGCGAGCGAGCAGCCCCGCAGTGAGTGGATGCAGCCCACCGGAGGTACTGTCTGAGGTGGGGCCCGGCGCGTGAGGCTCGTCGGCGTCCGCCATCACCGCCTGCGGCCACTGCAGAGTCGGCCAAACGAGGCTTGATTTTGGCCATTTTGGCACGGACCCTTGCGGACTCTTCACAGCTGGGTCCCGGTGCACCCGGGGGTGTTCGGGGCAGTGTTGGTGGCCGCGGTGGAGTCGCTGCGCGGCAGCCTGGCGGCACCGTGGGCACCGTGGGGATCACCAAGTGAGTTTATGGCCTCCCGTGCGCGCCCATGGGCATCCCACGGTCGCGTGTGGGCGGTCGAAAGGGATCACATGGTGCCTCAAGGTAAGCGGGAACCACGCGTGGGCGGTCTTGTGGTGGTGTTCTAGTCGCGCCGTCCGTGGTGGTGTCCGTGGCCACACCACCGCGCACCGGCACCCCCACCGCCGACTACCTAGCCGACTAGGTGCCGCGCCGGTGGCCACCACCGGCCGACCCGTGCGTACCCAGTGTGATGGGTGGGGCTAGGCCGTGGTGGGCCGTGGTGGGCGTGGGAGGCGCGTTGCAGGGACGTCTTGCGCATGATACTTGAAATCGGTGAAAAACGAGAAAAACAGCAGTGCAAATCGGTCAAGTCCTCGCCCGCAAAGTAGCCGAGACCGACCGGCTTGGCGATCCTGCCCGGCTCGGGGACGAGGAGCGAGCCGCCCTCGTTGGAGAGGCCCATGTGACCCGCCACCTGGTAGTCGAACGCAGGCAGCAGGTCATCGTCGTCCAACGAGCCGCCGCGTCGCAAGCCGTCCAGGTACGCGATCAGCCGTCGGAAGAGGCGGAGCAGGACTGGCAGCAGCAGCAGGAGGAGCGTGACAGCCAGGCCCGGCAGCGCGTCGGCCTGCATCGCTTGCTCGCACCGCGGCACACCAGGCCGGAGATTTCACGCCTGGCTCGTTTGCCGATGGGGTGTATGCGGCGAAATCGCAATAATTCACCTGCGGGGAGGTGGCGGGACCGACTCGTGCCGCGGGCCGCCGGGCAGCGGCCATACCCGCTCGGCGGAGGCAGGGCTCAGAATCGGTTTCAGGCCACAAGGCTGGTGAGTTGGGCGTGACCGTCATCTATAGAACGCGCCCGCTCGGAAGTCTCGGTCTGCGGAAGGTAACGACGATTCGGCTAGGCGTCTGCGGAGGCAAAGGGCGGGCTGGCGATCCGCTACGAGGCCTGTTTGTCGCGGTCGGACAGGCACCCGTCGCATCTGTGGACAGGTGTGACGACGGCAGTGACGAGTGCGGCGCAGCCGCGCACGGGGCCCCGCCGTCAGCGGCCACACAGGCAAGAGCGGCACAGCATGAGTCGGGGGGGTGTCGGGGCACGACGAGGGTTGCTTCGGCTGGCGCTCGGAGGCCACCAGGCGGCCCCATTTGATGTCCGGGAGGTGCCTCCCGGACGCCTCCCGGACAGCTAACGTGCAGAGCATCGAACAGACGCCTTGCCCGGCATCCCACACTGGTGGATTTTGGGGCGCTGTGGGCCCCCTAGCACGAGTGCCTGATCTCTGCCTGGTTCTCGCGGCTGAGTTTCTTGATGACGACGAGCACTGCTGCCGTGTGTGTATACATAGGTAAAGTAGACGCGCGCTCTGCCGCCAGAATGTCATGGCCAAACAAATAGCTCTAGTGTGTAGTGACGCACACGTGTATGTACGTACATGTCACTGTGGACGAGGAACGTAGAGTAGTTCGAGGGGGGGGCGCGGTAACTCACAGCCTCTCGCAATAAGTGCCGCGAGCCGCCTCTCGGCGAGCCCCCCCCCCCCCCCCCCAAACAGGCCATCTCCGATTCGGCGGCGAGATGCGAGAACGCCTCCTGTCACTATCGTTTGCGCCGCAGGAAGCTTACCGTCTTGCGGGGCGTGCTCTGGACCGCAGACGCTGCCCCTCCTGCAGCTGCAGGAGATGGCAGCGGCAGTAACTCCTCCGAGGATGAGAGCAGAGCGGCGCCCATCTCCATGAACGCATCCTTGTCAGCCTCGAGCACATACTCGCTCCGCCCGTCCTTCTCGCTCGGGCCGGCGAGCACGAGGCCGCACTTCTCCTTCCACTTGCCGTATTTGGGGCCCAGAAGCGCATCGAGCTCGTCGAATGACTTCTTGAGCGGCACCGTCAGCTTATCGCCAAGCGCGTCGCCCCCGAGCGGCTTAATACCGTCAATCTCTTTCGCGACGGCCTTGCGCGCGTTATCATCCAACATGCCGAGCAGCTTCTCGGCGAAAGCCGGGTCGTTGGTCTGTTCGCTCAGCCACGTCTTGGCCTCGCAGGCAAGCTTGTCGAGCGCGCCGAGCTGCCCATCGATCCAGTCGCCAACGACGCTAGCCACGTCGGGCACAGGGAAGCCCGCCAGTCGGCCAGCGACGTACGCAAATTTGAGCGTCGCGAGCCCAAGCTTGACGTACGGCATCGCCTTCACCAGCCACTCCTTGGGGAACGTGAGCTCGAAGCCCTCGCCCGCGTTGGTCGGCGCGAGCGACATGCGGATCGGGTCGAAAAAGAAGACGCGCACCGTCTGCTTGAACCAGTTCTTCGGAGTCAGGGCCTTGAGCTTCGCCCGCATACCCGAACCCTTGCTGAAGACGGCCGCGGGCAAGAAGCAGATGAGCTTAGGTGCGATCGTGTCGACGCCGCGCAGCAGCGTGCCGAGTACCTCGAACTGCACCGCGAGCTTGAGCAACACCTGGTCGATCTTCAAGTGCACCTGGTCGATCTTCGAGCCCACCTGGTCGATCTTCAAGTCCATCCGCCGCAAGCTCTCCACGATCTCGGTGTCGCCGCTCTTCGGGTGGAAGAAGGGGTGCTCGAGAGCACCCTTGACCGACAGCCGCGCCGACGGCTCGCGCCGCAGCAGCTTGTCGACGAGATCACGAGCCGCCGGGTCGTCGACCTTCTCGAGCCGCTCGAGCACCACTCCCTGCTGCGTGCCCCACGCGTGCAGCACGCGCATCGCCGCCCCCGAGGCGCAGTCGTCGTCGCGGGTCGACGGCACGAGCGGCTCACCCGCCAAGAGCATGTAAGCGAGCGCACCGAGCGACCACACATCGATCTTGGCCGACGCCTCAACAAGCGGGTACGGCAAGTTGTCGATCACGGGCTCACCCGCTGTCGTGCGGAAGGAGCTGACGACAAACGACGCGCCCGACCGGCGGTGTAGCTTCGGCGCCACCTTGGCCTGCAACTCCTTGCTCTCCCCCTGCCAGTAGATCTCGAGCGCCTCTTCCTCGCCCTGCTTGAGCTCGTGGAACATCTCGGGCGGCAGCACGGACGAGGAGAACTTGGCGCCGGCGTACGACTCGCCCTCGCCACCCACTGGCACGATCTTCGCGGCGGCGTCAAAGTCGATGAGGCGCAGCCGGTTGTCGCGCCGGAAGCGGACGACGTTGAGCAGCTTGAGGTCGCCGTGCATCAGGCCCTTCGCGTGCAAGTGCGCCACCGCCTCGAAGACCTGCTCGAGGCAGACTCGCACGGTATTGACGTTCGGCCGCTCCTGCTGGTAGATCTGGTGCAAGTTGCGGTCGGCGGCGTCCATGATGATGGCGCGTGTGCCCAAGCTGATGCCCTCCGGCAGGTACTGCTGCGCGATGGCGCGAAGCCCGCCGCCACGCGCGATCACCGCCGCCGCGATCTCGTCGTCGGACGGCAAGCCGGGAAGCTGCTGCACGATGAAGCGCGAGACGAGCTCGTTCTTCGCGCGCGCGTCCCGCTCGCGCTCCCACTGCTCCTTCTCCTGCATCAGCTTGATCACGACCGAGCGCTGGCCGTCGCCGAGCTGCTGCTTGCAGATGCCGACGAAGCTCGAGCGGTCGATGCTCTTGTCCTCGGCGCGGAGGAACAGCTCGGCGTCCAAGCCGATGCTCGCCGCAACCGGGGCCAACTCCTTCCGTTCGAGCGTGCCGCTCCCGTCCTTGTCCGCGTCGTCGAAGACCTTGCCGTAGTCGGTCTTCTCGCCGCGGTCGAGCGCGCGCAGCACGACGCTGGTCGCCGAGCGGTGCTCGGGCGCTCCGATGGTGAGCTCGTAGCGGCCGCAGAAGAGCAAGTACAAGTAGATTGCCTTGCGCGGTCCCTCTGTCGAGGCCTCGAGAGCGGTGCGCCCCTGCTTGTCGCGCACCTTGACCAGCGCGTGGATGTGGGCGCCGAAGCCGTGCCCTGGCGGAGCGTCAGACTTGGAGGCGAGGACACGGCCGACGGCGGAGATGAGGCGCTTGTTGGTGGAGGCGACGGCCCACGGCCAGCTGCCGCCATGGTCGACGGGGGCGCCGCTCTCGAGGCGGAGTGGCATGTCCGCGGCCAGCAGCGCCAGCAGCACCGCCTCCGACGCGCCCTTCTCGACGGCGTAGTGCAGCGGCAGCCACCCGTCCTCGTCCTTCTCCTTGACCGCCTCGGGGTAGGCCTGCAGCAGCGCCAGCACCACCGCCTCCGACGCGCCCTTCTCGACGGCGACGTGCAGCGGGACGGGCCCTTCGGGATAGCCCTTCTCCTTGGCCGCTCCTGGGCTCGCAGCGATAGCCGCCAGCAGCTCGGCATCGGCGGCACCGCGCAATAGCGCGGCGAAGAGATGTGGATGCGGCATGGCCGGCACGCTATTTTGCACGTCCTCGGATTTTGAGGCGTGACAGCGCCTGGTGAGCTGAATTTCTTTTTGAGCTAGAACTTCGTTGTTAATAGGAACAAGCGAAGGCACACACGACATGACGCCAAACACACGATTGCACGCACCGCACCGCACCTCGCACCCGCGCCCGCCGCCCCCCCGACCCCCGCCCCGCCTAGGTGGGAAAGAGATGAGGAGATGGGACAGCGAAGGAGGAGTACGAGCACGTATGGGAGGGTTCAATGATGCGCCACGCTGCCCGGCGTCTCTCACTTTCCGGGACAGCCCCGCCCTTGTGAGGCAGGAAAGTGACGGCTACCCCGTACGCGCCTGTTGCTCTACTCGTCGCCGACCGCCCATCCCCCCTCCTCGTTCCCCCCTGGGGGAGCCGATGATGGTGGAGCTTTTGTCATGGGGGCCCCCGACCCCCCCCCCCCCCCCGCACACACACACACACACACACACACCGCCGCCGCGCGAGCGCCGCGCGGCGGCACACCCAGCTCAAAAGAAAAAGAAAAAAGGGAATGAGGAGACCAGCGGGGGAGACTCCCCGCCTATGCAACACCCCAGAGAGGGGCTGCCATCGCCGAAGCTGTGCCAAAGCATAACTCCAAAACCCGCAGCGGCCCAGGGGGCCTTGGGGGCAGCCTGCCGGACCGCCGCTGCACGGGGCTAGGCACCAGAAGATGAGTGGAATTGATGAATTGGGCCGTTGTCCGTGCCTCCCCTCTATACGTCAGAGTGGGACCTACGCCGCGCCGGGAAAGGGGCGCGCCCGGTCCTCGACGGAGCCGCGCGCCCCAAACGACCCAGGCGGCGAGTAGTCGACCTCGAACCTTCGACATGTAGTTGCCCGTAGTTAGCGCCCGCCCGCCCCGCCTCCGTCGCTTCGTAAAAGAAAAAACGAAATAAAAACAAGCAAAAGAGAAAGCGAAGCCAAAAAACGATTGCGTAAACGGCGTCACAAAGCCCGCCGGTTTTGATCGACAATCGTGAGATTGACCGCCGTCGACCAGAGAATGGCAGACGATGCGTCAGCTTGTGCGGCGCTCGCGCCGCGCAGGCTGGCCCATCGAGGGCACTCTCTGGCGCTGTCCGGGCCAAGCACGGCGCCGCGCATGCTGCGTGCCACTCGCCGTGGCTTGCGGTGCAGCGCCACTGCAGCCTCGAAAACGTCGCGCACAGCACCAGCATGCTGCCCACCAGGCAGCAGAGTGCTGCACCGGCGTGCAGCGGACGCTGCGGCGCTGCGGCACCGCCTCCCCGCCCTGTCCACGGAGCAGACGAGCGGCGGCACGGCCTTCCTCCAGCTGCAGGAGGTGCGCACTTCTCAAAGGAAGCACAGGATGCTCCCACAGTTTACGCAGCTTTGTGCAGCGCAGCGCACGGGCCACGCCACACAAAGCCGACCCTCAGTCTGGCCAAGAGGCTGTCCGCGGAAGGCCTGGCAGCGCGTACTCGCCTCCTCCGCGGCCATGCCCTCCGCCCGGGCGAGCGAGGAGCGGGGACACAACCATTTCTGGAATCGTGTTTCCCCGCCCCCCGCTTTTTTGAGAATGGCTAGTCCGAGCCTGAGTGTTGTTCATCTTTCTACATACATACATACAGCTCAGGATTTGTGGCGCCGCCCCGTTGGCTGAGTGTCTTGTCTTGTGGTTCTGTGTGTCGCTCCTGTGTGACCGTCATCGCCCGTCCTGTGTCCACCCATATCTTTCTCCGCGTTGGTGTCCCAGTCGTTGGTCGGACTGTGTTTCGCCTTCCCATCAACCGGGGGCTCAATATGGCCGGCAGCTCGCGCTGCCGGCGGGGTTGGTTGGCAGGGGAGAACCGGCACGGGGAACAAGGGGCCAGCCTTTCCGGAGGGGTCGCCCCCTGGAGGGGCCCCAAAGGGCCCCCGGGGGGGCGGGGGGCCCCGCCCCGAGGGCGGGGGCAGGTTCGTCGCCTAGCGCGATGGAGTAAACCCTTGTTGCCAAGTCGGCGAGCGTGTTGTGTATCGAGAGAGAGAGAGAGAGACCATAGGCATAGCAGATGCGAGAGCGGCGTCATCCGGGGAGAGGGGTAGTGGGGGAGGGTCAACATCGAGGGCAATTACGCATCGCGCTCCCCGATCGTCTCCGATCTCCCTCGCCTGCTCGCTCGGCACGACGTACTCGGACCATATGTCCATATCGTTCGAACTCGGGGGGCACGGCGAGGGTTGCGACGGGTGCGGCTTCAGGGTCGGTGGCGGGCGAGGGGTGGCTGACGGGGCTGGCTGGGGCTGTAGCCCTTGGTGTAGCAGGCCCACAGCGGTCGGCGTCGCGCTATCTTTCTCTGGTAAATTTAAAAGTGAGCCGATTTTGAGAGATATCTCGACGAGTTCGGGCGTTGACTCATACCATGGTAAAAGTGTTGCGTAACACGGCCAAGTTTCCGACGGCTGCACGCGTGCGTGCACACGCTGGGCGACCCGACTGTGGTGCGCAGTGATCATCGTCCGCCGCGCAAATGACACGAGTTAGACGGCTCCTCTCCCTCTAGATCTACCTGAGCTCCTCCGAGTCTCTCACACCGGGGCAAGGAACTTTTGGTGCGATTCGTGCTCCATCGTGTCGCGCATAAAGGGGTCCTGCAGGAGAGCCGTCCTGTTGAGCGTCCCGATGGCTAGCTGAATCGCTTGCCACGTGCCAAAGCACACGCGATTGTGCTGAGCTTGGCTGCCACCGCATCGTCGTCTGACTCGACCACAGCACGCCAACGGCCCTTGGCTCGTGTGTGCAGCAGGGCAGGCGCCAGCCATGGCGGCAAACCGCCCAGAGAATGGAGACGCATGGTCGGGAGGCACCGCTGGGCTGGAGTCCACCATAGAGCCCCAGAGCAGAGCGTCCGGTAGGTAGGACTGGTCCCTGCAGGCCCCGTCACCGACGTCAGCTAAGCCCGGAGCGACCAGTAGCCCTGAGCGCAAGATGAAGCGTCCAAGTCCCACGTGCCAGTGCTGAAAACGGATGTCAGAGGTCACGTTGAGCGCGTCGTGCACGTGGATGCTCCAGACCTGGTGGCTCCACAAGTATTTGCCGGCCTGCAGGGTGGACAGACAAAGGTCGGGGCCGGAGTTGAGTTCGTGAGTGCACGGACTACAGGGCTTGCACCCACCACAGAAAACTGGCATCTATCACAGTTTTCTGTGGTGGGTGGTCCTCCGCGGCCACATCGGTTGAGAAAACTGGCATCTATCACAGTACGACGCTGCACATGCACATACACACAGACAATCATGATTCGTAAGTAAGCTGACCGTGCCCAAGTCTCCATCATCCTTCCCAGTTCCGGTTTTGTCCTGTCTGAGAGGCACGACGACTCCGTCTCCCGTATCGTGTCGTGTGCCGCACACGGCCAGCCAGCACAGAACAGCGCGCCCACTGATTTACGAGGAACTCACACCGGCCAAGAGGTCCAAGACACTCACAAGACAAGACACTCAGCCAACGGGGCGGCTGCCACAAAAATGTGCCAACAGTTGTAGTGGGTTTTTTCATATGTTGGAGCCAGGTGTGGCGCCTGGACGTGAGAATAGCCATTAATGGAGGCAACCGATGCGAGTCGACTGGTGTGCTAGCTGCTGGTTGGTGTGTCGTCGGTCGTGCGTGGGATACCAGTGCGCACATACACACAGACAGACACAAGCATGATTGAACTAGTCATTACCGAGACCAAAACTAAGCTGACCCAATCTCCATCGCTTCCCAGTCCGGGTCTGTCCAGTCTCGTGAGAGGCACATTAGCGGACGACTCCATCCCGGTATCGTGTCGTGTGCCGCGCACGGCCAGCCAGCACAGGACAGCCGCCCACTGAATCACGAGGAACTCACACCAGCGAAGAGGTCCTCACACGCCGAGAGAGGTCCTCACGCCAAGATCGAACGCCAAGAGGTCCGGCGCAGTGGATCAATGGTTGCGCGTTGCGAGGCCGGCACGCCCTTCCGCCGACCCTCCCCCCGTCAGTCCCGCGGCAGAGGCAGCGCTTTGTTCGAATTAGCCATACGACAAGGTGGTAGCCCAGTTTCAGCACAAAAACCTGTGGAGGGTGGAAAGATAAGAGGACAAAGTGATCCGGTGAAAAATGTGCAGGCGCAGCTGAGTCTCCCCCGCTGGTCTCCTCCTTCCCATTTTTTCTTTTCTTGTGAGAGCAGAACGCCGGGTTTGTCTTGTACGTGCGTGTCGGGGGTGTGTCAGAAGTGTCAGTGAGGGGCAGCGGAGGGCAGGGGCGGCCGGCGCGCAAGGCCAGAGGCTCAACCATTCGTCGGCTCGTCTCAGGGTTGGAGAAGGGGAAGGGAAGTCTGGGCAGTCGGCGAGGGGGTCGTAGCAAAGAGTCCGTACGGGGTAGCCGCCACTTTCCTGCCTCACAAGGGCGGGGCTGTCCCGGAAAGTGAGAAACGCCGGGCAGCGTGGTGCATGACTTCAACCTCCCAGACGTATTTTCGTTCCGCTCCTCCCTCGGGCTGTTCCATCTTCCCATCTCCTTCCAGCTCAGGCGAGGCGGGGGGGGGGGGGGGGCGTGGGCGCGGGGTGCGGTGCGGTGTGAGTGTGTGTGCGTGTCGTGTGGCTACAGCAAGGGTCCATCCGTCTGTATTATTATTAACAACGAAGGCGCTCGCAAAAAAAAATAGAAACGCCGGGCAGCGTGACGCACAACTTTACCCTCCCATACGTGTTGGGCGTCTCCTTCGCTGTCCCATCTCCTCATCTCTTTCCCGCCTGGGGCGGGGCGGGGCCCGGGCGAGCGGTGCTGAGCGGCGTGTGCGTGTGTGTGGATACGGCAGGTGTGACTACGACACGGTGGACCACTGTGTTTGTATTATTATTAACAACGAAGGCGCTCTCAAAAAAGTATCCGTTACTAATTTTTTTGTGTTGATCCGAGCTATCAGCAGGCGGACCCCGAATTTCACAGCAGCTATGGGTATGGCAGGGAAAAGTTCATGGAACCGCTTTCACCGACGGGAGTGTTACGGGGAGATCATATCATAATTTTCCGCGAACGGGAAATCTCGGCTAAATCTCGCGGCACTCTCGAATCCGCGACACTCTCTCATCCTCGACGTTCTGCAGATCGGTCACTGGCCATGGTCACAAGTCCCACACGCATTCGTCAGCTTGAGGCTCATCTTGCTCTCCCGCTAACGTCTCAGCTACTTGCCGTCTGCCGCTCGGCCCGTGGCAACTATGGCATGGTTTGGGTGATGAGAGAGTCACCCACTGAGCGCTCTCGGCCGCTTTACTAAGTTATTAGTAAGCCTGTAGCGAGCGACAGCACGTGACGCCGGCCGAGCAGCTTACCATCGAGGTGTGTGTCCCACCTGGTCCTGCTCCTCTTCCGCCAACCGTATGGGCTGCGGAGGATGCTCCTCCCCGAGATTGGCAAGCCTTTCATCCTCGTTTGTGGCGTCATCGATGAAGATGATGCGACCGTGCTCTCGCCGTGCATCGTCGGTCACATTGCCCTCCATGACGCAGACGAGCAGCGCACTCAGGTAGAGGTCGACGAGGAGGTATAGCCAGCCCACCTACACCGAGTGGAGCGGAGTTGGGGTGGAGTTGGGGGAGTTGGAGTGGAGGTAGAGGGGAAGCAGTGGCGTGATGGCCCTAGCGACGCGAGCACACCTCGGTGGCGACCACTTCGTCGCGCGCCTCGTCGCCGTAGATGATGTGATGGAAGCCGCTGCAGCTTTGCTCGACATACACAAAGACCGCCATGTGAATTAGCAGCAGTCCGATCATCGCAAGCGACAACGCATACAATGCCCGCATCATCTTACAGAGCGGCGCCTGCCACGGTAGGTGGCCATGCACACACGATGACGTGAAGATGAGCGCGGCGGCGGCGGCTACGAAGAAGCCCGCCTTTTCGTGGAAGAAGACTCCGATGGGCTGACGGTCGTGCTGGTGATTGATCGTCGCTAAGGCAATCGCAACGAGAGCCGCGGCATCGTGCAGCGGACGTATGCGTGCAGCGGACGCGAGCCAGCGGTGAGCTCGCCGCGTGTCGCAGAATCCGTGGCGTGAGGCGCTGCTGACGGCACTCTCCATTCCAAACGAGATGAATAGGACCACTTGGCCGAGGTCAATGACGGCGTGCATCTGGTTATATACCCGGGCGTAGCCATGATTGATAGTGAGACCTAGGAAGATGATGAAGTTGATGGCCGCACCGAGCGCCCCGTAGACCCAGTGCACCCGCAGCGGCCCACCGTTGCCTGACACTGCGATCCACGATAGCCTCAAAGCACCCGTGCCCACTGCGATGTGCGTCCACGCGTCCTCACGAACGTGGAGGACCTGCTGTTGGTAGATGGCGCCTGTGACGGCAGCAGCCGCCGCAGTGAGGCTCAGCCATGTACGCGAGCTGAGGACGATGAACGGGATTGTCGCGGCGGCAAGCCCGGTGACTGCGAGAGCTTTGAGTAAAGCCTCCATGGGTGCCGTCGCGAGGCTTGCACAACCCATGGTTGCTGCAGTGCTCCCGTAAAACGTCTTGGCACCAGCTGAAGGCTTGCACGGCAGAGCTCGCAGTCGTGTACGGGTATTCGGATTTTGCTATTTGCTCGTGTGGGGGTATAAATTCGTGACAGATTTGTCAATGGCACTGCGTCTGCGAGTGTGTGTGTGTGCGCCATCGCAACTGCCATGTCGGCAGGTTGTCGGCTGGTACTCTCGCCCCGCTGGCGGCTTGGTCTAGTGCCGCGGCTCCCAGCCCTTCTGTGGGCCCGCGGCGGCTCGCCGCGGCGGTTGTGAACAATGGGATCGGTCCGGATTCATCCCGGCGTGCAGCCGGTGCCGCTTCTTCGGCGAAATTTTGCTCAACCTGTTTGTCGACAAAGTTGCGCCCGAGCTCCTGCTGCTCGACTGCGCGGCGGAACCGGCCCCTTGATGCTGAGATGTGAGGCGCCGGCACCGGGGCTACAACGCGGGGCCATCTCCGGGCTGTCTCGGGCAACCTCAAAATTGGCGCCTCTCTCGGGACCTGTTCCTGGGGCCCATCGCGGTGACGCAGAGGGAGCGGTTGCTGGCGGAAGAGCGCGCGGAGGCGGCGGCAGCGCGGGCGGCGCGGGGGAGTGGGGGGGGTGGCGGCGGGCGGCGGTCCCGCGATGGCCGGCGGCGGGAGGCCCGCAGCGCGGCAAGGTGGGCTCGGGGGGTGGAGTGCGACGAGCGAGCGATTGAGCGCGCTTTCGAGGGGAGGGGGGAAGAGCGGCCGGCCAGGTGGGCCGGTCTCTTCGACGGCGCCTAAGGGGTTGCCGTCTGCTGTGCTCCTTTTGGTACCTGTGTCGAACCTGTGTCGGTGAGAGAGAGTTCTTTTTTGTTGAATTCTTTTCGCGGCACCATAGGCCACAGGCGTCTGCCGCCCGGGCCAGCTTTCGACGTTCGCTCCCTGCCACACAAGCGCGGATGCGTGACTTTGAGACGCGTCACTTGTGCGAGCTCTCGGCGGAGCAGTTCTGGGCGCTGCGCGCCGACCTCTCCTACGATCAGTACATCGCCGACTTTGACAAGCAGGCCCGCCGACGGCCTCTCTGCTCGCTGCCGCTTTGCACCCCGCTGCTCCACTCGCCGCCTCCGCCGCGCCACCCTCGCGCACGCCGCCTCGCACTGCCATGGCCGGCGAGGCTGGTCCACCGCGTCCGCGCCCACGCTTCGCGCCTCGACGCGCGCCGCAGGTCTTCCAGCTCTGCTGGCTCAAGGAGGAGGCTGACGCGGAGGGCCACCCGTGCGTGGAGCGGGAGGTGCGGCTCACCTTCCGCGAGAACCCGGTGCCAAAGGCGCTGCGCGGCATGCTCAAGGACCCCGAGTTCGCCTTTCTCGTCCGGGCGCGCTCTCCGAGACGCGTCCGAGACGCGTCCGAGACACTTCCGAGAGACCTCCGAGAACGTTCCGAGACGCGTCCGAGACACCTCCGAGAACGTTCCGCCCGCATGGAGTTGAGGGTGCGGAGACGGCGGCAGGCGCGCTGGCGGACGCACGTCTGGGACGAGGCGCACGCGATGGAGTTGTTCGTGACGATCCTGCGCGCAAGAAGCAATCCTTAGCGACGCACCACTGCATACTCAGGCGCACGCGATGGAGGTGGAGACCATCCTGCCGGTGTTTTCGGACCGAATCAAGATCACCGCGCGGCAGTGGGCGGAGCCGGTCTCGCCCGCGCAGTGCTACGTGTGCTCGCGCGTGCACATCGAGGCGCCTACACCTCCGCAGACACCTCCGAGACACGAGACACCTCCGAGACACCTCCGACACACCTCCGAGACACTTCCGACACACCTCAGGACCATCTCCACAGGTGTCGCGGCTGCCTGGTGTCGCCGGCGTGGTGGAGAAGGGCGTCGAGACGGGGACGCAAGGCCAGCGCCTCGCAGTTCTTCGTCGCCCACTCCTCCGCTCCTTCCTTTAGGCGTCGAGAAGGGAATGCGAGATGCGTACCTCGCGCTGCCTTAATTAATTAATAATTAATTAATCTAGGCGTCGAGAAGGGAATGCGAGATGCGTACCTCGCGCTGCCTTAATTAATAATTAATTAATTAATCTAGGCGTCGAGAAGGGAATGCGAGATGCGTACCTCGCGCTGCCGGCGCGAGCCACCGAGTACGCTCGCACGAACCCGCACTCGGCAGCGCCTACTAGAAGCGGAATATCTCCCCATATCTCCCCCCGTATCTCCCCCCGTATCTCCCCATATCTCGGGCTGCTAGAAGCGGAATGTCTCCCCATATCTCCCCCCGTATCTCCCCCCGTATCTCCCCATATCTCGGGCTGCTAGAAGCGGAACATCTCCCCGTATCTCCCCCCGTATCTCCCCCCGTATCTCCCCATATCTCGGGCTGCTAGAAGCGGAATGTCTCCCCGTATCTCCCCCCGTATCTCCCCATCTCTCGTGAGCGGGAGCAGCGGGCCCTGGAAGCGGAATATCTCCCCGTATCTCCCCATATCTCCCCATATCTCGTGAGCAGGAGCAGCGGGCCCCTAGACGCGGAATGCGCATCCGTGTGCTCCGACCAGCGCTCGAGAGGACTCACGCCATTCCGCTGGACCCCGCCCGCATGTAGATAGTCAGCTGTGCTCGCCGCATTCGTACCCCGCCCAGTCCTGCGGCGCTCGGAATACACCGCGCAAGTACCGTCCTCCCGCCACGACCTCGGCGTGCTCATGGCGTGCTCATAGCGTCCTCCCGCCACGACCTCGGCGGCTTCGTCACGTAGGCCGTGCTCCCGCCGCTGCCCACCCCGGCCGGGCGGGCGGTCGGCGGTTCTGCTGCAGAGCTGGCGCTCACAACGCCCGCCGCCGATGACGCCGACATCGCCGCCGACGCCGACGCCGCTGACGCCGCCGCCGCCGCCGCCGCCGCCGCCGCCGCCGCCGCCGCCGCCGCCGCCGCCGCCCCCGGTGCGCCCCCCGGTGCGCCGAACGGCGGCGCTTGCGGCGGCGGCGGAGGCGAGGCGTGCGGGGAGGGAGGAGGCGGCGGCGGCGAGATTCGGGCGGCCCCGCCTCGCGACGTCTTGGAGGTCGCTTCCTAGACACTTCCTAGACACTTCCTAGACACTTCCTAGACACTTCCTAGACACTTCCTAGACACTTCCTAGACACTTTCTAGACACTTCCTAGACACTTCCTAGACACTTCCTAGACCTCGCGAAGTCTTGGAGGCCGCTGCGCGATGAAGCGGAAGACGCAGTCTTGCGCTCCAATCAGCGCGCGAGGGGGCCACGTGTTCGGCTGCATTTGGCGCGTAGTCCGCCGTGGCTCGCTGTATTCGTACCCCGTGTGCTCCTGCGGTGCTCTGAAGACGCCGCACCACACCGCATTCCCCCGCCCCCGAGGGTGGTGTGTTGAGCGCGTCGGATCGCCCTCGCCGCACCGTTGCTACCGCACCACCCGCGGGACTGAACCCACACTGGATTCGATACCCTGGGGGTATGGGACACACGTAGGCCGCTGCAGCTGCGGTGGCGGTGTCGAAGGCGGCGGCGCCCGACAGCGAGGGCGACGCGCCCCCGGCATATGCTAAGGTGGCGGCGCTGCGCGCGCGGACCGAGGTGCTGCGGCAGGCGGTGAGGGCGGCAGAGGCGGCAGCGGATGCGCAGGACGCGCAGGCCGAGAGGCCTTTGGCTTCCGCGGGTGTCTTTTTCACGCCGCTCTTTCTTTGTTTTAGGAGGACGCGCAGGGCAGAGGCCTTTGGCTTCCGCGGGTGTCTTTTTCACGCCGCTCTTTCTTTTTCTCCAGGAGGACGCGCAGGTCGAGGCTGCAGAGAAGGCGAGGTCGTTGCTCGAGGATCGGCTGCGGCAGGAGCAGGCTCGCGCGGAGCTGCAGCCGAGATGCAGCCGAGATGCAGCCGAGATGCAGCCGAGATGCAGCCGAGGTGCAGCCGAGAGGCAGCCGAGGTGCAGCCGAGAGGCAGCCGAGATGCAGCCGAGATGCAGCCGAGATGCAGCCGAGGTGCAGCCGAGATGCAGCCGAGATGCAGCCGAGAGGCAGCCGAGGTGCAGCGAGAGCCAGCCGAGCGCGCGGAGCCTCCAGGGAGCCTATGGCCGAGTCTTGGTTCCCGGCGCGACAACGCGCCTTCCTTGTCTCTAGGCTCGTGCGGAGCTGCTCCGCCAGCGGGTGGACGCGCTGTCGCAGGTGCCGCCGCCGCGCGGAGGCAAAACACGAAGTCTGGCGGACCGGAAGAGAGAGCTGTGAATAGGAGCTCGCTGCCGAGCGGCGGTGCGTCACGACGCTCCCCCCACGCCCAATCTCGGGTCATCTCGGACAATCTCGGGCCATCTCGAGATCGCCAATCAGACTCGCCACGTCGCTCCCACTAGGTCTGTCTCCCCAGATCTCCCCAGATCTCCCCAGATCTCCCCAGATCTCCCCAGATCTCCCCAGATCTCCCCAGATCTCCCCAGATCTCCCCAGATCTCCCCAGATCTCCCCAGATCTCCCGATACCATTAGGCTCGTCACGTCGCTGCTCACGCAGCTCCGCCTCTCCTCCTCCCCCGCCGCCGCAGCCGCCGCCACTGCCGCCGCCGCTACCACCAACGGCGCCGCCCACGCCGCCGCCACCCCCGCTAACGGCGCCGCCACCGCCGCCACCGCTGCGCCCGCCGCCGCCGCCTCCGCCGCCTCCTCCGCCGCCGCCTCCTCCGCCGCCGAGCCCGACGCCGCCACCGCCACCGCCGCCGCCGCTGCCGTGGCCGTGGCCGCTGCGGCCGAGGAGACGCGGCATGCAATCGCGGCGGCGCGAGCCGCGTCTGAGGCGAGCGCGTGTGCCAGCGCACATCTGCCCACATCTCCCAATTGTCTCTCCCCACGTAACCACACATCTCCCCACATGACCACACATCTCCCCACATCTCCCCACATCTCCCCCACATCCCCCCCACATCCCCCGACACTTTCTACATCTCCCCACATCTCCCCACATCTCCCCACACCTCCCCACATCTCCCCACACCTCCCCACACCTCCCCATCTCTCCCCACCTCTCCCCACCTCTCCCCACCTCTCCGCACCTCTCCGCACATCTCCCCCATGTCTCTCCCCATGTCCCATGTCTCTCCCCACCTCTCCCCCAGGCGAGCGCGTGTGCCGCCGCGGCGTGCAAGGCGCTCGAGTCGTCGGCTGCTGTGTGCGGGCCTGCCGCCGCTGCCGCCGCCCCGCGCGCTGTGCCGAGGGGTGCGTTAGTGCCCGGTAGATAGGAGCCTTCCCTCCCTCCGCCCGGGGGGGCTCTAGCACACTTCGAGCCACAGGGGAGCCCTCGTGGCGAGATCGTGGCGAGATCGTGGCGAGATCGTGGCGAGATCGTGGCGAGATCGTGGCGAGAGCGTGGCGAGATCGTGGCGAGGTCGTGGCGAGATCGTGGCGAGATTGTGGCGAGATCGTGGCGAGATCGTGGCGAGATCGTGGCGAGATCGTGGCGAGATCGTGGCGAGGTCGTGGCGAGATCGTGGCGAGGTCGTGGCGAGATCGTGGCGAGGTCGTGGCGAGATCGTGGCGAGATCGTGGCGAGTGCACTTAGCCCCCCCCTCGGACGCCTCTCCGTCAGTAGACATAGAGCTGTACAGCACGCCCCCCCG